ACAAACGTGTCATTTTTTTTAGGGTTATTATAGAAAAATTACCCTAGGAATGCTAGGGTATGGGGTTGATATGTTGGACTCACAGTAGAAACTGGGGTAAGAGGTACTGTAATGAAAGTTGTAAAAAAGTAAGGATTGACGCTGAAGTGTTATGGTCGATCTTAAATATTAGGATCGATCCCTAACATCTCGTTTTATTGTTATCTCTATATCTCACCTTATTTTGTGGTAACTTAATTAAATATGTTGTCCAAAAATTACTTTTCGAAGACGTAGGCTCCATCTTTGTGTTTCAAACAATGAATGAGCTCATGGAAATGACCCAAATCTAAACCCTATTCTACCCATCCATTTCCTTCACAATCAATAGATGTGCTGTGGCCGTGCAACATAAACCAAGTTTGGTCATGTGATGCTGTTTTTATTTCAACTTTAGTGTTGCTAAGCTGCTCTTGCTATCAAACTCTAGCTAGTTTTTTTTTTTTCAGTTTTGGTCCATAGGCAGAGATGGACACTCTCTATCTCTCTCTCAAAAAATATATGTTTTCATCAGTCAAACATGAGAACATTGTGTCTTCCATCACTCTTTTTCAAAGCGATTTGTTGCTTACATAAACAGGCATAGAAACTTAAGCATCCTAAAATATTAATCAACCAACCACTCTATGGTGTTCAAATCCAATTTTCCTTTGCTCATTTATTATTCTTGTGGCCTTTGAGCAGCCAAGTCGATAGAGTTCAGTTGATGACACCAATAAAAGTAGTCTAGAAAAAAAATTAATAAAAATAAAATAAAATAAAAGTAGTCCAGTTCAAGTGAAATTCTTGTATTTGAATTTTATATTAGTTCAATTATTTTAAATATCATGGCTTAATTATTCAAATCAGCTCATTTTCCTTGTGGCAATTATTTTTATAATGCTTTACTCTTCTTCGAAAAATTAATATTTTTTACAATTTTTTGGGCAATTCTAAAGTAGACCAATTGATATTGATTACAACACATATACGGGTTACGTTTTGTTTCCAATCTACTTTTTCACAAATTTTCTCAATGGTAAATAACATGTGATGAATTTAAGTAAGATTTGAGTCCTTAATTAATATACCATGTGTGATCTACCGTTGAAAAAAAATTGTAAAAAGTATATAGAACAAGATCTAGAACCGTTGACATACACTCATAAGGTGTTAGATCATTTTCAATACATTTTTTTTTTATTCTTAATATATCACCTACTGGCTACCGTGAATTCATGTAGTCCGTTGTAAATAAATAGGTCCTTACTCATTAATAGTGAATTATCTACTAAGAAAAGAAAGAGACTGAGAGAAAAAATATATATTAGAATCTGGATCTTGCACACACATGACGGAGATTTAGTATTCCCATATTAATAAGCTTAGTGCCAATAGTAATACTATTAGTAATAATCACAAGAATAAAGACAATTATAATGATGATGGTGAAAAAGAGCAGGCAGAGAAGGAAACATGGGATTATGTTGATTAGGTTTGATTTGATGTTGTTAGCAGTGCTGATATGATAGATTAGATATATAGTAAGACAAAACCAAGGACAAGAGCAAGTGGAGAGAGAGAGAGAGAGAGAATCCACTGTAGATTTTGGGCACATGCAAACTTCAGGGTGCATTACCCCTCACGATTTAATTGCACAAGTAATCCCATAGAAATCGCTGTGTAAGGATAATGAACTTGTACTCTCAACCACTGAACTTTTGTATTATCATAAATTATTTGCATTTGTTTCACATTATTTCAAAATTAAATATCCATTATGTTAGAAAAATATCAACGTGTCATTAAATTTTGGAACATAGTCCAACAAGTAATAGAGTGACATAATTTCTTTTTCGATTAATTTGTAAGGATAGTTTTTATGATCATATTTAGAGGTTCAATGTAAAAAACGATATTGTAATCGGTGAAAAAAAGATCATAGTTGAAGAGGTCAAAGTGTAATTCCAAATAAAAGACACCCCCTATACAGCCGACTAGACACCAAATCAACCTCATCCCTGCACAATACAAGATCCAGCTATATCTATATTTTTGAGACACTACAAAAGGACTTGTACCCAACCCTCTTAGAAGATTGAATTCCATGTGTCTGGTGTGTGAGCCACGGCCAAGGACTAAACTATTATGCTCCAAACTTTTTTAAGTTCAAAACTTTATGAGCTCATTAAGAAAAGAATCTTGTGATGTGATCTTCATAGTTCATATGCATTGCATAGACTTGTTTATAATGACATGGTAGGAATAAAATTGATTAAGAAGTAAAGGTTTGGAGCAAACCCAATGAACTAAATTTTCACTAGAATATTAGAAGCTTCTGTGTGTATACTACAGGTCTACATACACAACCTTTTTTTTTTTTATGATATAATACATACTTCCATTCATGAAAACAAATGGCAGCATATCTTATGCAGAGATTCACTACTTTCAATGCAAGGTGTTTAGGGAAAAAAGAAAATCAAGTAATTCAAAAGTTCGACTTTTATTTTTTTGTGCACAAAGTTATTATTTAAAAACGGGTTTTGAAGACATAAATGACAAATAATTTTAGATATATCACTTGAACAGATAAACATTTGTCATTACTCTAAGTCCCAAGTCTTATTTTTCCTACGTCTCTCAAGTGTATATCCTCAAAGGAGTTGCATGATCAACCACGAGCCATATATCCTTAATTTCAATACTCAAGTAACAATTACTATATAATTTTGTGCTTGTTTATTGTGGAGCGGGTTTAATTTTGGGGATTGAAATTGTTTGTTTTATATATATATATATATAGATAAATTATTAAGATTAGGGGTCTTAATACAATTAAAATGGGGGTTTGAAAAAAAAAATACTACTTTGATATAATTTACTAATCTAATTTCTTACTAGCAATGGATTAACCATAAACTTCTTGTCAATACAAAATTATGATAAATTAAATCAATAAATTAATTCAACAAGTTATATTCAAAATACAGATAGAATCCTGACTCATTTGGCCACTGAGGTCTGCCAAAAACCCTTTGGCTCCCATTGTTTCCTACTCCTTCGAAAATGTCATTCCTATTTACCAACTTCACCGGTGCTCCAACGATATATTATGGATATAAAGTTAAATATATATCATGGATTTGACAACTCTGGTCACATTACTTTTGTCTCTACTTTAATTATGAGTCTCATTGACTTAATTACGGTATCGAAAAAATAATTTTGGAACCATATTTTTAATTTTTATCACTTTAATGAGTATTTTTATAATTTTTATAAATTATTTATAATTAAAAAATTTATCATTTTTGTGAGTAATTTATCACTTTTATAAATCTTTTGACCACTATTGTAGGTATTTTTACGACATTTGTTATAATTATTTTTATCACTTTTTTTTAGTAAAAAAAAATATTATTATATTTATTAGTATTTTATTACATTTGTGGATATTTTACCACATTTGTGATCTTTTTTACCACTGTTGTGGTACTCCAAAAAATGGTAAAACCCTCGTGACAGGTTATCAGGATTTAAATTCACGACATCTGAATTTTTTATTTTTATTTTTATTTTTTATCTAATAGAAAACTTAACCACGTGTAATTTTATTTTTTTTTAGTTACAAATCATTCAAATTAAAGGGATCAATTTTAGCACAGTATCATATATACTATATACATGCACACACAAGTAATGGGGAATATCGTTTTTCCACTAACGTCTCATGTTATGTCCAAATATATATATAGCAAGTTAGCAACACAAGAATTGCGGACGGAGATTTCGATCTTTTACTATAACTTCCTCAAATTATGTCCAAATCATGTTGAATCACACCTTGAATGTGCAAAGTTGTCATTCCGTTAGGACTTAGACCACGATACCTACAAAATGATTTTGGTATCGTACTTTTAAATTTTATTTTTTTAGTAGGTTTTTTTTTATTTTTTTGTGGATGATTTATCATTTTTACGGATATTTTTATCACTGTTATAACTATTTTTACCACTTTTTTTGAAACCACAACAAAAATAAAAAATAACCATAATAATGATAAAAATACCCATAAAAAAAATAAATATTAATACGGCACCGATTTTTTTTTTTTGACTGTGTCACTCAGACTTCTTAACGCAGGAGCCACCGTGAACAACCAAACAAGCACAAAGCTCAAGACTCACTCGAAGCCGTGCCAAGCCGAAGGGAAACATCGAGGTCTACGTGTGATTCACAGGAACACATCCTAGGTTAGTGCCCTCAATATAAAGGTTTGCATCAAGATAGATTATTCTGTTCTCTCTGAAGTATAAATGAACATTTAGGTATGCATCCAATCTCTCTTTTGAACTCCCTATATATATAAGGGTGTTAATCGAGACAGGACATAATTCAAATAAAACTCAACTCGAACTCGACTTATATTTTAAACGAACTCAGTTTAATCAATTTTTTATCAACTTGATGTTCTTACACGAGTCGAGCTAAGTGGACTCGGCTCGAGTTCTAAACAAGTCGAACTTAAAAAAAAATTTAGGCTATTTAAAAAATAAGCTCACCGGACTCAAACTAAAACTCGGCTCGATTAACACCCCTATGTATATACATTTATCACACTTGCAAATTCGGGTACCTTGTGGATGCCAAGGAAAAAGAGAAGCTATTATTAGCAAGGAAATTCTAAATATGGGTGTTTTGGTCGAACAAATTCTGGGTATAAAGGTATTGACATAGCCATCCCATTTTAACACTCAAGCCAACATTAAAATCTAATTTCTCAAGGTATTGTTTTAGATACTTGCCAGGTGAATTTGAATGGTTCCTTCCTGGTAACACAGCATTACAGATATGGGAACTAAAAGGAAGCACTGAGGGATGCTTTCTCCAAATGTTACAGAAGATGAGTCTCATTCTCAAACTTTTACATGTATAGGCTCTCACTTTGATACAGTCACTGAATGATTCATGATGCATTGTTAAAGACGTTTTACTTGACTATTTTGTGGAACAAATCGCCATAGGTCCACCGCAATATCAACCTCCTTTCTCTTGTGAAATTTGTAGAGGCATGGCACATCAAATCGAAGCTAGGAAAACGCATCGAGGAAATAAGGAACCACATCACAGCTCTACATACTTTAAGCTAAATTCATGAAGATGTGCACAACCAAATCTTGCTAACTCAAATGCTATCAATTTACCATGAAAAATAAAAGAATAGAGTGTATACGTGATATATTGTCAATAATATAGGGATAAACACAAAAAATACTTGCAAATGAACAAATTAACTGAATATGATATACCTCACATAAAATTTCAGCACTGCTAGCATTGTAATCCCGCAAGGCTGTCCTCTTCACATGCTGTAATCATCATACAAAGAATGATCAATCACTGCACTCCTAGTACAATCCTTGTAAACAATCACTCGAAGCAACGCTACCAGATGAATAAATAAGGCTAACTTTGTGCCTTGCATTAAAAAGAAAAAGAAACAAACAAGCCAACATCCCGTGAAGCAAACTCTTGCAGCTCCTTAAACATGAAGCTCAAGCCATTAGGAATTAAGAGGCACGTGTATGACAGGAAATGACATCATTAAATACAAGAAGAAGAAGGTCTGCATAGGTAACCATATTCTTTATTTTTTCTAAACATATATCTCATAGATGTTTACATTTTCAAAATAAATACTGTTAACATACCATATGATTCTATGCCATGACGTTTTCACGATAGACCATATCACCATTAAGGGGCATCTTAGAAAGAGCCCTTACCAAAAGAATATATTACATCTGTACGTCAACCACTTAAAAATTCCATTCTATGGGTTTGATGCTCTGCTCATGTAGTTCTGTGACTGAAAAACTCACAAATTGCGGGCACAGATTCAGATAAAAAAGGCAGGCATGCATATATGTATGGGAGAATAAGTGGACAAAATATTTGTGCAGTACTAAACTAATCACACTGACCCTGAATGGCCTGCTGCAATAAAATGTACTTGTAGTGAGATAATAGAATACAACAACATTACTAAGCTATGATGGAGCATTTCTGCAGGATGAGTAACTTAGGCGAATCAATTTACCATCTGTAGACAGCCATATTTTGCCATTGTGATATGAATTGCAGATCCAAGCAATCTACTATAACTAAAACAATTTACTAATCAAGTTAAATTTAACTATGACAATTTTCAAAGAAAATTGACTTACATCCCTTGTTGTTGTCTTATGCAAGGAATAAACGGCTTGAGAAGCAACCTAAAGTGATAATCAATTCAGAATTAGTACAGATATCACTACTCACAACCATTTGACACACTAGATATGGGCCATGCCTTTACCTTCAAAGCCACAGAGAGGAAATCCATGTCAGCTCCTTTTTTCCGTGTTCCAAATGGAGGATTCATTATGACATTATCAACAATTTGATCTACACCATAGCCAAGATCACTACTTTGATAAAAGAGAAGTTAATTCAAAGGCTGGTAATATTAAAGAGTTCAGCTAGACTAAAAAAAGTTGATGGACAAACTTCATTTAACAGAATATGTACCATTTTCCAAGCCAGTCTAGCCCTTCCCTAAACCCTAGACATCTCAACTATCATAGTAGTGTCAGCATCAATTGCAGCTGTGTTATTGATAAAACTTATTTCCATCTCATTCTTCCTAGTATCCAACACAGAAAATACAAGAGATCATGCTTTACTCTGGAGAAGAATGTGGCATACTCTTATGTGAAGAAAAACCACCATACCCTGCCCAACAAAATTTGAACAGTGGAACTTTGTTCTAGCAATAGTGGATTTCTTTTTTCTTTATTTTGAACGAATTTTACAGAAACATTGACTTCTAGAAAACAAAGTTTGGTGACCACCTCATTTTGGAGAGAGGACAGAGACTTACCTCTCCATCTGAAGTTCTTGATGTCGCACTGAACAAAATTCATGTCTAACTGCAATTAAATTTCGATGACAAACAACAATACTTCAGTGAACTACTGCTAAGGCGCTAGTACATAAATCTACCAAGATATTGAAACAAGAATCATTTGTTGGCAAAAAAACAATAAGAGTAATAAATGACAAGAACTAAAGACTATTTTACGCACTAGAATTCTCCAAAATAAACAAATTAGGAAGCATCTAAGTCAATACCACTATTGCAGATAGTTAAAAAAAAAAAGGTACCTCAAGATCATCTGCATTTATTGATGCAATCTCCAGAGACTGATCATCAATATCGAGCCCAATAACATGTCTGTTCAAAATTCAAACCAAGGGCTAAGCGCAAAATAAAATACAGCCAATATGTAAATTTATAGTTATAAGTATCTATTACTACACATAGACATATACCCAAAAATATTCACTTTTACATTCATACAAGTAAAATGCATGAAATGAGCTGTTCCATCTAAGGAGAAAAACATACATATACATACTTACACACAAACAAATGTAAAATGGATAAAAATGAATTCTTGTTAAACACAGACGCATAATCACACAACCACAATCGCACACCCCAAAATGGTGAAGCTAAACACTCACTGAGCACCCAAGAGACCAGCTGCAAGACCTAATGTACCACACCCACAGCCAAAATCTGCGACAACCTTGTCGCTCACATCCCCAAATGAATTCTCCGCCTAAATTGAATACAAAAACATGTTTTCAGACAAAAATTCTACCTATAATAATAACAATTACAATTCCATACAAACCACCTCTAACAAAGAGAATTACAACAGCATGAAGAGAAGCAAATGTGAAAAGGGTATATGTAAATAGAGAGATACGGTGTAGAGCATCCGGGAAGCAATGTGGGGTCCAGTTGGGTATTGTTCCAAGTCAATCTGTAGCAGCAACAGAGCATAGCCATTCAGTTTAGCAAAAGAAACAAATTCAAATGGTATGTTTGCATACTGAGAAAGAAGAAACCTTTGG